ACCCAGGCACCCCAAGGCCAAAGTTTTTTTTTTTTTCCACTTTTAATTTTAATTTATTTTTTTTAATTCTTATGTTAATCCCCATACATTACATCATTAGTTTTGGATGAAGTGTTCCATGATTCATTGTTTGTGCATAACACCCAGTGCTCCATGCAGAATGTGCCCTCCTCAATACCCACCACCAGGCTAACCCATCCTCCCACCCTCCTCCCCTCTAGAACCCTGTTTGTTTTTCAGAGTCCATCGTAAGGCCAAAGAGTTTTTTAAAAAAATTCTGAGTACACCAAAAATGATTCCTTCTGTCTTTTGACATCACTCATCAGTACAAGGAAAGAAAAGCATATTTTAAGAATAAAAAATCTGAGGGCACCTGGGTGGCTCAGTTGTTAAGCGTCTGCCTTCGGCTCAGGTCGTGATCCCAGGGTCCTGGGATCGAGTCCCACATCGGGCTCCCTGCTTGGCGGGAAGCCTGCTTCTCCCTCTCCCACTCCCCCTGCTTGTGTTCCTGCTCTCGCTATCTCTCTCTCTGTCAAATAAATAAATAAAATCTTTAAAAAAAAAAAAAAAGAATAAAAAATCTGATATGAAAAAAAGAACTGAAAACAACCTCAATTTGCAATTTAAACTGATACATAAGTTGTATAATCTTCTGATATTCTTTAGAGTCCAACTAAAATCACTCTTTATCTGGCAATCTATAGTCATAATTGCATGAAATGTCTTAAGGAAATAGGAATAAAAAACAATCATATAGCTTTAACTAAAGCACTTGGCTGCATAATAAAAATGGCTTTTTCCTCTTTTTTTAAAATGTCACCTAAAAAAAAAAATGTCACCTGACACCAGTTATTTGACTGGAGAAATCACCCTTATAAATTTTTAAGGGAATTCTCAAGATACATGCAAGAATTAAAGAAATGTAAGTAGTATACTTTCTCCTCCTTGTATAGGCTTATTACCATTATTAAATATACTACCCCTACTCCCAGTAAAGTGAAACAATTCAAAATATTTAAAGGTTACTCGTTTCCTAAACACTTCAATTTTCAATTTATCTTAAACTTTATGATTTAATGTGATAAGCTAAATTCCCTCAATAAAATCTCTCTTTTTTTTTTAAAGATTTCATTTATTTATCTGGGGGGGCATGAGTAGGGGGAGGGACAGAGGAAGAGGGAGAAGCACACTCCCCGCTGAGCAGGGAGCCTGACATGGAGCTCAATCCCAGGACCCTGGGATCATGACCTGAGCTGAATGTAGATGCTTTACTGACTGAGCCACCCAGGTGCACCAGTAAAATCTCTTTTTGACCATTCTAATCTGAAATAATTGCTATTTGAATTCCTAGCAGTTCTTCTACAGAATCCGTAACTAATCACATTACATCCTGTGATACCTAGCACTGTCCTGTCAAATTAAGACTAACATTTATTAAGTCCCTATCACAGTCAAGGCATTGTGGGGGATATACAAATGAAAAGGAGTGCCCACAATTTTAACAGAAAGAAACACAGAAATACCACACTAACAAACATAAAGTGCAATAAAATAAGAACAAAGAACAAGTTAGTATAGGGCAAACAGAAAATAATTTCAATGATGAGATCTAGGAGCTCTGAAAGAAAGATGGTTAAGATCAAGAAGGGAAGGGGATAAGGATATCCTGACTAAAGAAAATGCTTAAATAAATGAAGAAAGTAGACAAGATATTTTAGAAAAAGGAACAGCATAATGTAGCTGAAGGGAAAGGTAGGAAGAGGGATTTTAATTAGTGGGAGATAAAGTTACAAAAACAGGCTTAAGACACACCACAAATGGATATGAAAACCAAGTTCAAGGTATGCAAATTTTATCCTAAGTACAATAGGAAGCAACTGAAGATTTGGGAACAGGGGAGAGAGGTGCCATTATATCTATGCCTTTAGAATACTAAGTTGGTAACTGTATGAAAGTTAAATCAGCGATAACCCTGAAATCAGAGTGAACAATTAGAAAGATACTGTAATAGTTCAAGTAAAAGTGGTAAGTACTTAATTAGATCAGCAACAATGGAATAGGAAGAATGGAATAGATTGGAAAAGACTAGTAGAATAAATGGAATGTGAGAACTAACTGGAAGCTGAGAATTAGTGAGAGAGTAGTCAAAGATAACCCTAAACAAACAGGCAGCAAGGGGACTGATGGCTGTATTAATACATTCTTAGTTAAATCATTCACTGTCCATGTGTTTCAGTCTTGAAACCATAATACAGAAAAAGTAATACAAGGTAGTTAAGAGCTATTATTCTTTTTTCTTTTTTAAAGTAGGCTCCATGTGGAGAAAGCGGAACCCTCTTACACTGTTGGTGGGAATGCAAGCTGGTGCAGCCACTCTGGAAAACAGATGGAGTTCCTCAAAAAGTTGAAAATATAACTACTCTTTGACCCAGCAATTGCCTTACTGGGTATTTACCCCAAAGGTACAAATGTAGTGATCCGAAAGGGCACCTGCACCCCAATGTTTATAGCAGCAATGTCCACAATAGCCAAACTATGGAAAGAGCCCAGATGTCCATCAACAGATGAATGGATAAAAAAGATGTGATATATATATACAATGGAATATTACTCAGCCATCAAAAAATATGAAATCTTGCCATTTGCAATGATGTGGATGGAACTAGAGGGTATTATGCTAAGCAAAATAAGTCAGAGAAAGACAGCTATCATAAGATCTCACTCATATGTGGAATTTGAGAAACAAAACAGGATCATACAGGAAGAGAGGAAAAAATAAAACAAGACAAAATCAGAGAGGGAGACAAACCATAAGAGACTCTTAATCATAGGAAACTGAGGGTTGCTGAAGGGGATGGGAGTGGGGGGGATGGGGTAACCGGGTGATAGACATTAAGGAGGGCATGTGATGTAATGAGCACTGGGTAATATATAAGACTGATGAATCACTGGCCTCTATCTCTGAAACTAATAATACATTATATGTTAACTGAATTTAAATTTAAAAAATTAAAAAATAAATAAAATAAAGCAGGCTCCATGCCCAGCGTGCAGTCCAACGCAGGGCTTGAACTTACGACCATGAGATCAAGACCTGAGCTGAGATCAAGAGTCAGATGCTTAACTGACTAAGCCACCCAGCACCCCTATGATCTATTAAGGCAGATTGTTGCTCAACTTCTAGCTGCTCCACTAGTCAGCTGTGTGATCTTGAATAAGTAAATTCCTTTATAAGCTTCATATTATCTATAAAAAGAGGATATTAACACCTGCCTCAAAAAGCTGTTTTCTGAAAGGATTAAAGGAGATAATGCATGTAAACCATTTAGTAGAGGCCCTGCCTGTGTAAGTGCTATCATCATCATCTTCTCTTTGAAAGGCAGGGAACATATAATACTATTTTGTCTCCTTCACAGTGCCGAAGTATGAAGTGTTCAAATATTTGTAATTTGAAAAATCAAGACATAATCTAAAATATGTTCATTTATTTCCTCCCATATTATATACCCACTGTTAGGAGCATCAACAAGCAATAGCAGTAAAATCCTTTTGTTCTCTGTGCTCCCCCTCTAGTGGTGATCCTAAGAAGCTAAAAAAATAGCAAAAACTAGAAGGATACATAATATAAAAACGCAGTATGGAACCAGAGGACAGGAAGTCATAGGGATGTAATACAGTTAGTTCATACTGTACTGTATATTTCAAAGTTGCTAAAGCAGTAAATATTAAAAGTTCTTCTCACAAGAAAAAATATATGTAATCACATGTGGTGAAGGATGTTAACCAGACTTATGGAAATCATTTCATAATATATTCATATATCAAATCATTATATTGTGCAACTGAAACTAACAATATTATATGTCAATTTTATCTCAATTTTAAAAAAAGAATTCAGGATAAACTGTCAAAATAAACTTCAAAGTGAACAGCTAGCTCCCTCAGGCAAGATATGCAGGCTTAATTCAACTATAAACAGAAGACATCTAATGCAATTTTCTAAAATGCTTCTCAAGGTTAAGTTGTTCCCAAAAATTCATTCACAGAAAGCTCTAAATTAAGCAAAACTAAGTATTTTCCTGTTCTGTGAGACTCTGCAGATCCTTTATGAGTTGTGATTTCCCAGAAGTTTTTCTCAAACTATAACCAGCAAATCTTTTTTCTAGTAGACTGCCTATCACTATTGTTAACAATGGCTGGGGAATATCTACACTAGAAGCTTATATAATTATATTATTAATAAAGAATTAGGTACTTAATATTTAGCCACAAGTTAAAAAAACAATCATGCAAATGGGGTGCCTGGATGGCCCAGTCAGTTAAGCATCCGACTCTTGATCTCAGTTCAGGTCTTGATCTCAGGATCTTGAGTTCAAGCCCCGCACTGCACTACACACTGGGCATGGAGCCTACTTAAAAATCATGCAAATGGATAACATGAGATCAGAGGACACACTGAGAATGATCTTAAAGAAACATATATCTCAAAATGAAATGCATTAAAAAAAAAATTTTTTTTTTAAGATTTTATTTATTTATTTGAGAGAGAGAGGAGAGACTGATTTATTTGAGAGAGACAGACAAGTGGGGAGGAGAGGGAGAAGCGGGCTTCCCACAGAGCAAGGAGCCCAATGCGGGGCTCGATCCCAGGGCCCTGGGATCATGACCTGAGCCAAAAGCAGACGCTTAACCGACGGAGCAACCCAGGTACCCGAAAATGGAATGCATTTTAATTAAATTTTTAGATATAAGCAAGTATTCTTGATACTTTACATACATATTTAATATATGTAAGTCATTTCATAATACTTGTATTAGTTTAACAATAAAAAAATAATATAAAACTAATCTATTTAGTGAAGACGTAATTTCCACAGACTTTAAAATGATTTATGAAGTACTAAAATATGCCATTAGTTCCTCATCAGTATCAGAAAAAAAGAACCAGCACTAGGAAAATTTCTAAACTGCATATAAAATAGTAAAGGTGAGATCTTTACCTGGGATTTCCTCTTAGTGCAGCATGGTGTAGAGCATTAAATCCATTATTGTTTGTAATGGTAACATCTGCTCCAGCTTCTAGAAGAACTGCCAGAATGTCATCACGTTTTTTACTTATTGCATCATGAAGAGGGGTATCACCTTCAGAATCCTTTTTTTTTTTATTTAGAGAGACTTTCATTAGTTCTTGAATCAAACATCACATGTAATATTAATATGTATACTGAACTACTAAACAGAAGCCATATCCAGTAACCTTCAATAAACAACCTGTGTTAAATTTTAAGATGTAGGCAAGAAACATTAGCCTCATTATATTAAACTCATACTCAATCTAGATGGAGAACACAATGAACATGTTGTAGCCTACCAAAGAAAAGGAAAAATTAAAAAGTACCCTCAAATATGATTCAGCTAATTACAAAAATTAATGAGGTGAAAGCTGCCCCCAAAATTCATTAGTTTAAAATGGCCTACTATACCAGATTCCTACCAGTCAGTAATCACTATGCCCTAAACTTTCAAAACAAACCTACACCAGTCTTGGGGCCTTAGAGCAATGAATTGAAAGTCAGTAGTCCTTAACCTTGGCTGCACATTCAGAATCTGTAGGGGAGCTCTTAAAAAGATACCCAGGCACAGGGGGCCTCGGTGGCGCAGTCAGTTAAGCTTCCGGCTCTTGGTTTCAGCTCAGGTCATGATCTCAAGGTCGTGAGATTGAGCCCTGTGCCAGGCTCCATGACTGACACAGAGTCTGCTTGGGATTCTCTCTCCGTTTCCCTCTGCCCCTCCCGCTCATGCATGAGCATGCATTCTCTCTCTAAAATAAATAAATACAGGGCGCCTGGGTGGCTCAGTTGGTTAAGCGACTGCCTTCGGCTCAGGTCATGATCCTGGAGTCCCGGGATCGAGTCCCACATCAGGCTCCCTGCTCAGCGGGGTGTCTGCTTCTCCCTCTGCCCTCTTCCCTCTCGTGCTCTCTGTCTCTCATTCTCTCTCTCTCAAATAAATACATAAAATCTTTAAAAAAATAAAATAAAATAAAATAAATAAATACATCTTAAAAAAAAAAAAAAAAAAGACACTCAGGCTGTTCTCCAGGACAACTAAACCAGAATCTCTAGGGGTAAGACCCAGGCATTAGCAGTTTTTCAGATCCCCCCAGCTGAATATATTATGTAGTCATGGGTGAAAATATTAATCTAAATGTTGTCAAGGGGCAGGAAAGTGGCTAATTAATCAAAATAGAAACAAATGTAAAAGAAAATTTAGCAGTCTCGGTCTTCCTTTTTTTCAAGCTGACTACTTTTTTCATCAATCAACTGATTTAGTAGATTATCTGCATAAGTGGGTAATTTAGACCTCATTTATTCCATAGTTTCATAAGTACTATTCTCAGTTAAGTCATACTTATGGCTTATACCATGGTTGCTAAGTTCAGCCTGCCACCTGTTTTTGTAAATAGTTTTATTGGAATTCAGCCATACACATCCATTTATGTATTATCGACGGCTGTTTTCATGCTACAATTGCAGCACTGGATAGTCATGATAGAAACTACATGAAAGCCTAATTATCATCTGGCCCTTTACAGAAAAAGTTGGCCAATCCCAGGCATATCCTCATCTACCCTCATAACAAATTCCTAACCCAAGTTCAATCCAACCAGCCACTTTTTAGCCTCCTATCTAGTGGCACTAAAAATTCATAGTCTTCAACTTGAGATAGGTTGTTTTTTTTTTAAGATTTTATTTATTTATCAGAGAGAGACAGTACAAGTGAGAAACAGAGAGCACAAGCATGGGGAGCGGCAGGCAGAAGGAGAAGCAGGCACCCCACTGAGTAAGGAGCCTGGTGTGGGATTCGATACCAGGACCCTGGGATCATGACCTGAGCTGAAGGCAGACGTTTAACCGACTGAGCCACCCAGGCATCCCAAGAGATAGGCTCTTAATATGGCTGGAATAAGCTTCTACCGGCCCTGATCGTCCTTCCTTCTGGTCCCCACAGTAGCTATTCCAAACATTTATCATTCTTCTCAGTTACCTTTTCTATACCTATTACTCCCCATTCACTCTCAACAGATGACTTTGTCTGCCATTTCAGACGCCAAAAAATCAACAGGTACAAATTATCTCTCCTTCAACAGATCAACACCCTCTAATTCCTCCCCCATCCTCCAATTCTATAATCCGCTTAGAGGCTCTAAGTTCCAAACCCTGTCAGTTCCAAAATGCTATGACTCAGAAATATCAGTCTCTGATAACCATCTAGCTGAATAAAATCTCCAATTCTTTCAGTTCTCAAACCCTCAGTCCCATTACTCCTATTTTTCTTCTTTGTTGCTTCTCTGACATCTATCCAATCGAATCCATCTGGCTGCTAAAACTGTGGACAGGAATCATCTCTTAAGTAACTCTTGCCTCAAAAATTAGGTCCTACTGAAAATCAACCCTAAAACCCTGTATATTTTCCAAAACAGAAAATCTTCCTAATGACTAGACCAAGACCCGAAGATTATAACTGAAATAATTTAGATAAAGTAACTCTCATTAAATGCAGCCTATTATACTTCTTAAGCTGCTGAAGCTGTCATGATCAATAAAGTTAAATCAATTCATAAGCTGATATTTTTGCAAGGAAGTCCCCATCCCACCCTCTAATATAAAACCAATCTACTGACACTTTCCTTAAAAAGTCTTTTCTAAGAACAGCTGCCAATTTTATCACATGATCAAACAAAAATGAACTGATAACAAAGGAATGCTTACCACAGAACTTAGTATTTCCTCTTAACAGAATCCTAGCAACGCCTGCAGAATATCTGTCATTAAAGATTTTACCTGGAGACTAGGATGACAGCCGAAGTCCAATAAAGTCTTCACGACCTGCAGATGGCCTTTATTGACAGCGATATGAAGTGGCGTCTGTCGGCGCTTGTTGCGAGCATTCAAGTCAGCACTGCCCCGATGCAGTACTTCTATAACAGCACCTTCGTCTCCAAAAGCTGCATGGTGAACAGCTCTATCTCCATCTTTATCCTAAACATCAGTATTTAAATCTGAATTAGTGAGCAAATATTTTAGAAAGAAAAATAAAACCTGAAGCTATAATAATTCAGTAAGAATTGATGTGAGAAAAGAAAACACAGAATGGAGTCAACAAAATAACTTGAAATGAAATTCACTTGAATAGTGATTAACTCCAAAGATAAATGATGAACCTGGATCAATATACTATGTCACATACATACTAGACCAACACTTATATCAGAAGTAGTCTGATCTTTCATTACTCTTATCAGCCATGATGATAAGCCAACATTAAGAAAAATGCTAAATTATGATACAACTATGTATATAAACATTTTTCCATTTAAAAATTTTACAAAGGCTTTTTAATGACATAAAAATTATATAAACATTAGTTGAGTAATTTAAAGAGGAAGAAAGGATGCCAAACTGTGATCTCAATTAACTTTGAGACCATATTAACATTGGTTATCTCTAGCTGGTGAGCTTATACTTTTCTGTATATTCAAGAACAGAAAAAAATTAAGTACCACCATAAAAGATAAAAATGAAACACAAATCAGCGTAACTTCATATATCCAAAATTCCAAAACTATTTCAGAAGAATTAAGTAGGTATGCCTTACCTTTTATAATAGGCCTATTTCTGGAGATGAGAGGTAGAGAAAGACCAGATTGCTTAAATTTTTTTTTTAATGTAGGAAACTTTTTTTTTTTTTTTTTTAAAGAGAGAGAGCGTGTGCAAGCACGGGGTAGGGGTGCAGAGAGAGAGAGGGAGAGAGAATCCCAAGCAGACTCTGCAGAGCCCAGTGCAGGGCTCAATCTCATAACCCTGAGACCATGACCCCAGCCGAAATCAAGAGTCCAATGCTTAACTGACTAAATCACCCAGGCGCCAAGAAACTACTTTTTAAATTGGAAAAAAAATGCCTGTCCTGCACCATGAAGATAATATACATAGTCCACACCAAAAAAGAAGTCCCATTACTTTGCTAGATGCAGACAGAGATGGGTATTATAAGGATACTATCTTTATTCCAGACTACATCTCAAATTTTAACACCCAGAAGTAAGCATGTTAAGACTTTCTCCAGAGCAGTGGTTCCCAACCCACAGTCCTACCCCTCATGGACTCCAGTTTTAGCAAGTGGTTTGAAAATCCATATAGTATTCAGGATTATTTGAACTACTTTTCACGGATTTAAATTAAAAACAAAACAAGAGTTCATTCAAAACAGCTGCTGAATTCAAAATAGTCTTTGGTCTTAACATATTTTCTCAGACAGACATTTAAAGTAAAACTGCTCGTGTAGGAGTCCACAACAATTTGACAGCCGCCCTTTTTTTTTTTTTTAAGATTTATGTATTTATTTATTTATTTATTTGACAGAGAGAGAGAGAGAGACACAGCAAGAGAGGGAACACAAGCACTTTTATCCTACCCCAATCTATTCTTCACACACACACACACACACACACACACACACATTCCCTCTGTAAAGCACACAATTTATGTTTAAAACTCTTTAATGTAACTCTACTATATAACGAACTAACCTCTTTTAAAGCCTACTTCTGTGGACCACACCTGCTGCCCGTCATCGTCCCACATATAAAACTTTAACTTACCAACTTATTTGACCCACTATGTTCATGTACAACTTATTTGACTCCAGACTTCAATGCTCTTATTCATCACCTTGTTGGCTTAGACTAGACATCCTTTACAACTCAACTCAGGCAACCAACCCCTCCCCTCTGAAACCTCCACTCTCAAAAAATTCTCTTTTATTATCACACTGTAGTATAATTATTTGTTTCCAAGTACACTTCTTTGACTTTGAGCATATTGGGGGCTACAACTCTATCTTCATCATCTTTATTCCCAGGAATTTGGAAACTACATACACTAGAAAGTAACAATTAAATTTATTTCGTTTTTCTTCCAAGTAAAAAACCTCAGTTGCACAAACATCTTAACTAATAGGGTTTGCTGCTTTTTTCTGACTCCATCTTAAGTATTTCAAATAAACCTAATAAAAAAAAAGCTCATTATTATGACTCTGATACTGGGGGATAAGAGGGTAGAAAGAACCAAGATCAGTTTTAGGTTTAATTTGAGGCCCCTGCACAAATCCAAATTCACAGTGCCTACTAGCTAGTAAGAACCAAAATGGGTATTGAGTTGAATCTTTAACATGCCTTAATTACATTTTTTAAATGATTTTTTTTTTACCGTGGGAAAATACAAGAAACATAAAATTTACCATCTTAACCATTTTTAAGTGTAAAGTTCAATGATATTAAACACATTCATACTGTTATGCACCCATCACCACCATCCATCTCCAGAACTCTTCATTTTACAAAACTGAAACTATACATTTCACACAGTAATTCTCCATTGTCCCTCTCCCCAACTCATGGAAACCATCATTATACTTTGTCTCTATGATTTTTGACTACTCTAGGTACTTCATATAAATGGAAGCATACAGTATTTGCATTTTTGCAATTGGCATCATGTCCTCAACAGGTTAATCTATATTGTAGCATGAGTCAGAATTTCCTTCCTTTTTAAGACTAAATAATATTCCATTTTATGTATATACCACATTTTGTTTAGTCATTCATACATCATGGACACTTGGGTTGTTTCCAAGTGTTAATTATTGTGAATAATGCTATGAACATGGGTGTAAAAATATCTCTTTGAGACCCTAGTTTCAACTCTTTGGGGTATATAACTCAGAAATGCAATTGCTGGATCATACAGTAATTCCATTTTTAACAAACCTCCATACTGTTTTCCACAACAGCTATACCATTTTACATTCCCACCAACAGTCCAGAAGGGTTCCAATTTCTCCACATCCTCACCAACACTTATTTTGTTCTGTTTTGTCTTTAAAGATTTGTCAGAAAGAGAGAGAGAGAGAGAGCAGCACAAGCAGGGGGAGGGGCAGAGGGAGAAGCAGGCTCTCCGCCGGGCAGGGAGCACCATGTGGAACTCGATCCCAGGAGCCTGGGATCATGACCTGAGCCGAAGGCAACCGCTTAACCAACTGAGTACCCAGGCATCCCTGTTTTGTTTTGTTTTTATAGTAGCCATCTGAGTAGGTGTGAGGTGGTATCTCATTATGGTTTTGATTTGCATTTCCCTAATGATTTGTGACGTTTAGCATTTTTCATGTGCTTATGAACCATTCATATATATTCTCTGGAGAAATGTCTACTCAAGTCCCTTGCCCAGCTGTGCATCAGGTTTTTTGTAGTTGCTGAGTTTTAAGAATTCTACATATATTCTGGATATCAACCCATTATCAGACATACAATTTGCCAGTATTGTCCCACATTCTGTAAGTTGCCTTTTCATGGTTGATAGCATCCTTTGGTGCACAGAAGATTTTAATTTTCATGAAGTCCAATTTGTCTACTTCTTCTTTTTTTGCCTGTGCCTTCAGTGTCAATGCCCAACAAATCACTGCCAAATCCAATGCTGGGAGCTTTGCCCTATGTTTTCTTCCAAGCTTTCACATTTCAGGTCTTTGACCTATTTAGTTAATTTCCATAGACAATGTTAGGTAAGGGTCCAACTTCATTCTTTTGTACATAGATACCCTGTTTTTCCAGTACCATTTATTGAAAAAACTGTCCTTTCCCCAGTGAACGGTCTTGGCACCCTTGTCAAAAATTATTTGACCATGTATTCAAGGATTTGTTACTGGACCCTATTCCATTCCATTGGTTTATATATCTGTATTTATGCCAGTACCACACTGTTTTGATTATTGTAGCTTAGTAGTAAGTTCTGAAATCAGAAGAATTAGTCTTCCAAATTTGTTATTCTTATTCAACATGGTTTTGGCTATTTGGGGGTACCTTGAAATGACATAGTGAATTGTAGGATGGATTTTTCCATTTCGGCAAAAAACATCAGTTTGGACAGTTTTGATATCATAACAATACAAATTCTTCCAATCCATGAACATGAAATATGTTTCCACTTACTTGTATCTTCTTTAATTTCTTTCAGCAGTGTTTTATAGTTTTCACTGTACAAGTCTTTCACCTCTATGGTTAAATTAATTCCTAAGTAGTTTTTTATTTTTGATGTTATTATAAATGGAGTTGTTTTCTTAATATCCTCTACTGATTGTTGACGGTTAATGTACAGAAATGAAACTAGATTCTGTGTTTTGCTACTTTGCTGAATGTCTTAATTAGTTCTGAAAGTTTTTTGTGTGGAACTTTATGGTTTTCTACATATAGGATCATATAATCTGCAGAGATAATTTTACTTCTTCCTTTCCAATGTGAATGCCTTTTATTTCTTTTTCTTGCCTACTCTGGCTAGGACTTCCAGTACCATGTTGAATATGAGTGGAAAAGTGAGCATCCTTATCTTTTTCTTGATCCGAGAGGACAAGTTTTCAGTTTTTCATATATGGCTTTTAATATGTCAAGATAGTTTCCTTCTATTCCTAGTTTGCTGTTTTTTTTATCATAGAAGGGTATTGAATTTAATCAAATGCTTTTTCTACATCAATTGCAATGGTCACAGAGTTTTTCCCCTTCATTCTGTTAATGTGGTATATATCACATTGATCAATTTATGTATGCTAAACCAACCTTCATTCCTAGAATAAATCCAACTTGGTCATGGTGTATAACCCTTTTAATATGCTGAATATGGTTTGTTAGTATTTTACTGAGAATTTTACATCAATATTCACAAGGGATACTGGTTTATAGTTTTCTAATACTATCTTTGTCTGGCTGTGATATTAGGGTAATGCTGGCTTCATAGAATGAGTCAGTAAGTGTTCTCTATGTTATTTTGGAAAAATTTGAGAGCAAATAGTTTTAGGGGCAAGCCTGTTGGGACCCCCCCCCCTCCGAGAGTTTTTCTGTATCCTCACTTAATAAAACTCTATCATTTTATTCACACACACAAAAAAATGGTGTTAGTTCTTCTTTAAATGTTTGGTAAATTCATCAGTGAATCAA